AGCAGCAGCAGCAACGGGAGCCAATGCAGCAACAGCAGCAGCAGCAGCAGCAGCAGCAGCAGCAGCAGCAGCAACAGCAGCAGCAGGTGTAGATAAACTGAGATAGAGGTGCTGAGGCCTCGCGGCTTCAGGGGGAGACACAGGCCGGCGGGTGTTTTGTCTTTGAACTGTTGACTTTAATATTTTTCTATTGAGATAAACCCTAAACCCTAGTAACAAACATCTAAACCCTAAACCCTCATAAACCCTAAACCCTAGAAACAGCTCCTGCATGTATGTGAATCTGTAGTTCTTCAGCAGATGAAAAAAAAAACAAAATTTTAGAGAAAATGTTAAAATAAAAAATAAAATAAAAACCAAAATTTTAATAAAATAAAATAAAATAAAATTAATGTCATTGTTGACACCCAGCATCAAATAGATTAGGGTTTAGGGTTTAGGGTTTAGGGTTTAGAGGCATTTAGGGTTTAGGGTTTAGAGCCCCTCACCACTGTTTGTTTTGTGTTAAATACGTCGGCTTCTGAAAAACAAAAACAAGCAGCAACAGCAGCAGCAGCAGCAAACACTGCAGCAGCAGCAGCAAACTCTGCTGCAGCCTCAATGTAGGGGAGCTGCAACAGAAACAACCATCCTAGCACCAGCACCAGCAGCAGCAGCAGCAGCAGCAGCAGCAACAGCAGCAGCACCGGCAGCAACGACAGATGCCGCACGAACAGCTACTCTCGAGCGTAGCAGCAGCAGCAGCAGCAGCAAACCAAAACAACAGCAGCAACAGCAGCAGCAGCAGCAGCAGAGTCTACTAACAAATCTGGGAAAGCGCAGGAACTATGCCTTGCTGCTGACCACCACGCTGCAGGATCTAAACCCTAAACCCTAAACCCTAAACCCTAAACCCTCGCGTTCATCTGAATATTTATTTCCTCACCATGTTGTCTGGCCTATGGTCATTTTTAATATTTTTTTGTCTGCTTCTTGTTTTTGTTTTTCTTCTTGTTGTGTTGCTACCCTCCTCAACAACTCTTTTAATTATGATGCTGCGGCCCCCCTTTGTCTTGCATCTTAGCTTCTCCCACTGCTGCTTCTGCTGCTGCTGCTTCTGCTGCTGCTGCTGCTGCTGCTGCTGCTGCAAGTCCGAGTCCGAGGCCGTCCAGCCCTGTCCTATGTTGTGTTCCGTTTCCCACGTGCCTTCATCGTCCTCTTCATCCATTCCCTCATCCTGTTTCCGTTGCTGCTGCTGCTGCTCTTGCTGCTGCTGCTGCTGCTGCTGTTGCTGCTGCGGCCTACGTCTCTGTCTTTTCCTTTTTGGCTCCTGCAGCTGCTGCTCGTTGTCTTCCTTCTCCTCCTTCTCATCTTCGTCACCCTCAGCCGGGGCAGACGGGACTTCATGTGCTACAGATTTCACCTTTCTCTTGCTGCTGCTGCTGCTGGTACTGCTGCTGCTGCTGCTGCTGCTGTCGTTGCCTGTCGCTACAACTTTCTGAGCCGCCGGATTCTCTTCGCTGTTTTCCGTTGGATTCGGCTGTGATGATCCCTCATTCTTTTCTCTTTTCTTTTTCTTTTTCTTTTTTTTGGTTGGTGCAGCAGGAACTGCTGCTGCGTCTAGCTGCTGCTGCCGGCGTGAGGCAAGGCTCCGAGAGAGTCGAGCTACACGGCTGAAGTTGCTGTCGTCTTCTGAGTTTTGCTGCTCTTCCTCTCGCTGCTGTTGCTGCTGCAAGAGTTGCTTCAGATCGCGTTCGCGCTTCTTGCACAACTGGTTCAACCGCTTTTGCTGCTGCTGCAGCGTGGCTGCTGCTACGGATGTTGCCGCTGCTGCGGCAGCTGCTGCTGCTGCTGCTCCCGCCCCCTGCCTTCGTTTCTTCCGAGCATCTGCATGATGCAGCTGAGGCTGAGGCTGATGCTGAGCCTGCCGGCGTTCCTGTTGCAGCTCTTGCCGTTTATCAGAAAAGGAAAAGTCTATATCGCCATCTATGAAGTTGAAGCGAACATCTTCCGTCATCTTTGGCTGAATTCTCTCATATCTATCAATGAAGTTACCTGGCTCTGAGAGAATGCCTTTTAGTCGGCTTCACGGCGAAGAAATTTCGTCAGCTCATCGACGGCAGCATTCGCGCGGGCCCCACGGTTGCAGAAACCGAAAGGAAAGCGGTAGAAAAAAGAGAAAAAAAAAGAAAGACAANCGCGCGGGCCCCACGGTTGCAGAAACCGAAAGGAAAGCGGTAGAAAAAAGAGAAAAAAAAAGAAAGACAAGAAGTATTAACATGAAATAAAGTTGAATTTATACTCTGGAAACACTCAAAACCATCGATAAAAGATTTATCATCAGGTTTCCACTTGGCGGGGCCCGCCGTAAACCCGCGCCGGGGTGTACGTACAGCATGGGTTTCATGAATTGCTGGCGGGGGCATATATCACAGCAGTGTTCATTCATTTCTTCGTGTATATTTCTTCATAAATACATTTTAAACTTATTTTCCTCCTCGTCTCTTTCTTTATTCACCAGGATGCCGGTTAAACCCATCAAGGGTATTGAGGGTATGTCTGCTGTAGTTTCTGCTGCATGGTGATGATGATGGCGTCTGTGTTCATGTGCCGTGTCAGTGTTTGTAATTTTCAACATTTTATCCATCATTTCTGTTTTTCTGAACTTTTTTTCCACTTGACCCCCCCCCTCACCGCCGGGATCACAGACTCTCATCGGTAACCCGAGCACCACAAGCAAACACAAAACCAACACANCCCCTCACCGCCGGGATCACAGACTCTCATCGGTAACCCGAGCACCACAAGCAAACACAAAACCAACACATAAAGCATTCAGCAGCAATACAATACATCTACGCTGCCGCATACACCGCAGAGAGGATGCTAAGGAAACGAACTGTTGCCCACGAGGCGGCCGCCTGAGGATGCTGCTGCTGCTCAACCGAATGGGGGGGGTGTCAGTTTCTTTGTGTTGTTGTGTGTTTGTCTTCTGCTTTCTTGCCTGTTCGTTCGTATTTGTTTCGTTCACTTTGATCTCCTCTTGGCCCCGCTGTGTTGTTATAAATTGCAGCTTTTTCTGTTTCTTTTGCATGCAGAGTTCGATGAGGTCATCAAGACTGGCCTCGTTGTCGTCGACTTCTTCGCCACGTGGTGTGGTACGTCTTGCTGCTGTTGCTGCTGCTGTTGCTGCTGCTGCTGCTTCTGTTGCTGCTGCTGAAGTCGCCAGTGCTGCTATGGTTTCCGCCAGTAGGCGGTGCGAGCGTTGCTGCTGCTGCATTTGTTGTTGCTGTGTTGCTGTTTTTGGTGCTGCTGCTTCTCCCTTGCCTCGTCTGCGGTGTATCGGTGTGGGGGTTTGGTTTCTTCACTTTATTTCAGGGCCATGCAAAATGATAAAACCCTTCCTGGAGGAGAAGAGCAACGCCCTAACACACATCTCCTTCTACTGCGTAAGTCCAGTGCAGTTGCTGCTGCTGCAGTTGCTGCTGCTGCTGTTGCTGCTGCTGCAGTTGCTGCTGCTGCAGTTGCTGCTGCTGCAGTTGCTGCTGCTGCAGTTGCTG